GCGGTCAACAAACACATGAAGAAATGTTCACCATCATTAGCCATTAGAGAGATGCAAATCAAAACAACAATGAGATACTATCTCACCCCAGCAGTAATAGCAAAGTTCAACAAGGCAGAAAATAACAAATGCTGGTGAGGATGTGGAGAGATTGGGACTCTCATACACTGTTGATGGGACTGTAAAATGATGCAACTCCTGTGGAAATCGGTATAGCTGTTCCTGAAAAAGTTGGAAATAGAAATACCATTTGATCCAGCAATCGCATTACTAGGTATATATCCTAAAGAAGTGATAGTCAGGACAAGAACAGACAGATGTACACACATGTTCATCACAGCACTATTCACAATAGCAAAGAGATGGAAACAACCTGAGTGCCCATCGATGGAGGAATGGTTAACCAAACTATGGTGCATACACACAATGGAATACTATGCAACACTAAAGAATAATGTAGAATCCACAAAACACCTCATAACGTGGATGAACTTGGAGGACATTATGCTGAGTGAAATAAGTCAATTGCAGAAGGACAAAGAGTGTATTAGTCCATTTTGTAAAAAGTCAAGGAAAGGTTTATATAAGAAGGAAACTTTCCTTGTTGGTTACCAGGGGATGGAGGGAAAGGGAGGGAAAATTGCTAGATAGGTAATAGACAAGTAGTGATTTGGGTGAAGGGAAAGGCAATAGACCAAAAGCAAGTGACTGACACAATACCACTAAGGAACAGGAAGACGCAGAGAGATGTACAAGAAGGACAGGCAACAAAGACCTTTTACATACACGATACTGTGTTGTCAGGGATAACAAACACTCGTCTAGGGGTAAATAGATGGGTAGGTAGGCTCAATGATCAGGTATGTCTAGGCAAGAGAGAATATACCCGTGACCATATGTAATGTTGGCAGACGATATTTCTACATATGTATTTGTATATGCTGTTAAAATGTCCATATATATATAATAGAGCTAACAAGGAGCAAAGCTATGATCACTTCTTGGCCACAGCCAAACACCCTGAAGGAGCAAATTATTGGACTTTGGGCTCAGGACCACGGTTGCAGGGGACACCAAGCTCAACTGGCCTAACATACTACACAAAAACATTGCTCCACATCTACTTTGATGAGTAGGGACTGGGGTCTTAAAAGCTTGCAAGTGGCCATCTAGATGCAACAATGGGTCTGTCCCAAAACCAAACCCTAACTCACTGTTGTTGAGTCAGATCTGACTCACAGCGACCCCTCCTTGGGTTTCTGAGGAGGTATCTCTATGGAAGTAGATTGCATAACCTTCCTTCTGAGGAGTGGCTGGTGGGTTTGAACCGCCAGCCTTCTGGTTAGCAGTCAAATGCCTTAGGCACTAGGCCACCACAGCTTCTATCCAGAGCAAAGAAGAATAAACAAAACCAAAGACACATATAAACTATTAGCCCAGGGGATTGTTGGACCATGTGAACCTCAGCCTATATGACCATGAGACCAGAGCAACTAGATGGTGCCCAGCTACCACTGTCAACCACTTAGAAAGGGATCAGTTCAGGAGACCTGGATAGAGTGGGAGAACAATATGGAACAAAATTCAAAATCATTAAAAAAAAAAAAAAAGACCAGGTTTGCTGGTCTGATAAAAGGCTGGTGAGACCCCTGAGGCTATGGCCCCTAGCTGCCCCTCAGGTCTGGAATTGAACTCACTCCTGTGGCTTCCAGCCAAACAATAGGCATATGGGATGAACATTCACATCAGGTAGACACATTCCTTGGAGTGGGAGAACAGAAGGGCAGTGTTTGCACAGGGAGACAGCTCAGGGGGCAGTAGTGCACGCAGGGAAGGACACAGGGAAGAGGTAACCACAGGGAGGAAGTGGGAAGAGAGCTGTTACATTGTGAGGAATTGCAGTTGACGTCATGAGACAAAGTGTGTATGAACTGCTATAAGGAAAATGAATTTGCTCTGCAAACTCTCACCCAAATAACACGTAGGAAAAGAGAGTGGACAGGACAATCGCAGATATCTGCAAGGTCTAACGCCAAGGAAGGGTTAGTAGTTAGAAGAATCTCTGCAAAAAGCAAACCAGATAGGAAGGAGTCAAGGGCTATGGCCTGACCATTTCCAGGAGAGAAAACAAAATCCAATAAGCTCCTGGAGAGATGGTCCAAGTCCAAATCCATAGTAAAGAGAGAGAAGTAAGTTAAACAACAAACACGTCACTTCACACCCGCTGGACTGGCAGACGTTCCAAAGCTGCCATGCCATGCACCGGGGAGTGTGGGCTGGTGGGGTGACTCAGAGGGTAGGCTGGCTCTGTTTTTCAGGAAAGCAGGTGTGCCCACACCGGGGATGCACCAGTTGCACGCCCAGGCGAGCATGGGGAACAGATCCACTGGCGGGTGTGCAAGTGGACGTGTGCTGGGCTGTGGAGCCGGACGCAGTCGCAGCCACTGGAGGCGTGGCAGGGTGTCCGAGCTGGTGAGGAGGATGGGAGAGGGTGGGGACACTGGGAGCACCTCCCTCAGCATAGGATACACACAGAGGAAAGGGGGGTCCTGCACAGACCTCTTAGAGAAGCACGCCGCTGCACCCCACCCTCCCAACACACACATTCACACATACTGGGGTCTGACAAACAGGACCACCCGGTGACGTGGTATGGGAGAGGGAGGGACCGGATACGTTCAAATGAGCCACAGAAATCTGAAGGTGCCCGGGGCATGGGGTGGGGGTGGGACTTTGCTCCCACACACCCCGAGCTCAAACAAGGACTCCGAGTGAGGCCAAACTCCTCTTAGCAGAATCAGAGATGTGACACTGGGACACAGACCCGGGGTCCAACCAGCCAAGGCCACCACAGGCTTTAATCACTCGGACCCAGGTTCCGACCTACGTGGACCTACGTGGGGAAGAGCCTGAAAAGAGAAAGGGCAGCGGAGAAGGGAGGGGTCCCCTGTGGTGGGGCGTGAGAGACAGGGAGAGCCTGCAAGGACATGCTGCCAACGCCAAGGGAGGGGGCAGGGAGCTCTGGCTGTCCCTGTCAGGCCTGGGCAAGGGTGGGCGTGCAGGCCTCAGATTTCCATCCCGGCCATATGTGTGTGTGTGTGAGAGAGAGAGAGACAGTTTGAATGGGTTCTATGAGTATGGATGATAGTGTGCGTGAGTGTGTAAAGGGTTTGTGACTTGCATGATAGTGTGTGTGACAGTGAGTGTGTGTCAAAGTGTGAATGGGTTGTGTGAATATGTGCATTTGAGTGTGAGATACTGTGTGTGGAAGGATTGTGCAAGTGTGTCTGATAGTGTGTGTGTGTGTCCAAGCGTGCATGGGTTGTATGAATGTGTGTGTGTCTGATAGTGTGCAAATATGTGTGTTTGTGCATCCACGCATATAGGTGAATGTGCATGTGTCTGATGGTGTGTGAATGTGTGTGTTTGAATATGTGTCCAAGTGTGTAGAGGTTGTGTTAGTGTGTATGTGTGAGATGCTGTAGGAATGTGTGTGTCCAAGTGTGCATAGGTTATGCAAGTATGTGAGTCTGATGGTGTGTGTGAATGTGTGTCTAAGCGTGCATGGCTTGCATATGTGAATGTCTGTGTCTAAGTGTGCGTGGCTTGCGTTAGTATGTGAATGTGTGTGTCTGGTGGTATGTGAGTGTGTAAGTGTGTGTATGAGTGTGTGTCCAAGCATGCATGGGCTTGTGAGGGTAAAAATATATGTGTGCACTGTCTGATCGAGTGTGAGAGTCTGGGGCTGGGGATGTTGTCTTAGGCCCTGGTAGCTGAAAGGAGAGACCACCGCAGGGAAGCTCACACCTCTTCCCCACAAACATGAACAGGCAACTGCCTCTGAGCCTCACGCCCCTTGCCTTTTTGTGGCTCACTGAACACAAGGCCTCCAGGCCTGGGGAAGGTTCAGGTGGCTTTTAGCTCCAGTCAAATGAGCAAACTCAGCTCTTCTGACAGAAAGATAAGCGGATTTGGGTGTTAAGGGATAAAGAGGGTGTTGGGACCCAAGGGAATGTGGTGGGGGAGGGGAGGAAAGTGACACTAAAGGCCAGACCC